AATGTTCGTTAGTGAAGCTAAATCGAAATAAAATAAAAATAGATGGACCGATTAGAATAATTCTTTTTTGGTTTTGTTGGGGTTGTGCCAGGGGTGGTTTGAGTCCCCCCCAACGTGCGTTCACCTTGTCGTGGTGGGGGGGCTCAGTAGTGCCCGGCAACCCAACCGGGCGCGAAGCCAAGAAACGCACAGGGAGGTGGCCCACTTCGGTGGGCGGTGGGAGGTGGCCCTCTTCAGAGGGCAGTGTACCATGCGGGTTGCTCCTGGTACTTCTCTGATAGCAGAGTGGACTGTGGAGCAACCCCGTGGTTGATGTGGTCTGCTTCGGCAGACCTGCCGTCGCGTCGGGGCGTCGTAGTTGAATGCGTAAGCGATCCTGCGACGCCCCATTAAGACGGGGGAAGGTTTTGTTGGGTTTTAGTGGGTAGTACTGGCTTTGCCGGTGAGTCCCAAACCTCGTGCGTAAATGCATTTCCCAACGTTAAAAAAAAAAAAAAAAAAAGGGGTGGTTTGAGTCCCCCCCAACGTACGTTCACCTTGTCGTGGTGGAGGGGCTCAGTAGTAGTAGCGAAGCTAAGAAACGCACAGGGAGGTTGCCCACTTCGGTGGGCGGTGGGAGGTGGCCCTCTTCGGGGGGCGGTGTACCTTGCGGGTTGCTCCTGGTACTTCTCTGATAGCTGAGTGGACCTTGGAGCAACCCCATGGTTGTGGTGGTCTGCTTTGGCAGACCTGCCGTTGGGGCGTCGTAGTTGAATGCGTAAGCGATCCTGCGACGCCCCATTATGACGGGGGAAGGTTTTGTTGGGTTTTAGTGGGTAGTACTGGCTGTATTACGCCGGTGAGTCCCACACGTCGTGCGTAAATGCATTTCCCAACGTTAAAAAAAAAAGGGGTGGTTTGAGACCCCCTAACGTACGTTCACCTTGTCGTGGTGGGAGAGCTCAGTAGTGCCCGGCAATGCAGCCGGGCGCGAAGCCAAGAAACGCACAGGGAGGTGGCCCACTTCGGTGGGCGGTGGGAGGTGGCCCTCTTCAGAGGGCGGTGTACCATGCGGGTTGCTCCTGGTACTTCTCTGATAGCAGAGTGGACCTTGGAGCAACCCCGTGGCGGTTGTGGTCTGCTTCGGCAGACCTGCCGTCGGGGCGTCGTAGTTGAATGCGTAAGCGATCCTGCGACGCCCTATTAAGACGGAGGAAGGTTTTGTTGGGTTTTAGTGGGTAGTACTGGCTTTGCCGGTGAGTCCCACACCTCATGCGTAAATGCATTTCCCAAAGTTAAAAAAAAAAGGTGGTTTGAGTGATAAAAAAATAGGGAAAACACATATGAACAGCTAAAAAATCGAAAAGTTCAGAACTGTTTATTTTGTATGGGAATCACTACTTCGGATTACTTTCAACACTAAACGCTTAATCCGCGGAACCATTTTAGATGAAATTTGGTATAGAAATATTTTGAGATCCTGGGAATGACATGAGAAAATTGTCATCTCGGAAAACATATAATATATAAGGGATTGTAAAGGGGTGTGGAAGATTGAATGGAAAATTAATCATTCCCAAGTAAGGGACATACATTTTTTTTATTTTTTATAATACTTATTTACATATTTTTCTATACCTATGTATGTACATTGTACAAATACGTATATACAGGTATACTAGCATTGCCCGCGTTCAGATGACCAGAAAGTAATTCTTAGGTTTTACATATTAATACTTACTCTTACATTGCAGTTTTTTAATTTTTTCTCAAAAATGAGACATTTTCCCAGCTATCACCATACCAAATTTCATCAAAATCCCTCCAGTGGTTTTTCTGTGATGCGGTAACAGACAGACAGGCAGACAAAAATTCTAGAAACTATAGATTCAGCCTCTGTATCGATAATAATGTTTATCTCAATAAGATTTTCGAAAAAATATTTAATGTACAGAATCGGGTCAGTTAGAATTTTGTAATTTGAATGTATACGAGTATATGGGCATTGAGGATTTGACGACATGTTTGGCTTAGTTTGTAGTGACCCTACTTGTTATCCCAGCATTCGTAGGTTCGAGAGTCCTGCTGCGGGCATTTTTTTTTGTGATAAGCTGTTTGTACTCCAGTCATGGGTTTTTATATTTATAATTTGTATTTATATATTTAAAGTTATATATGTATAGTGTATCAACTATCTGGTATCCATAATACAAGCCTCGTAGCTTACCATGGAACTAGATAGTGCTGTGTGTAACATATTTATTTCTTAACAATAATAGATTTCGCATAAATAAAACAATATTTGCTTCTCAATACATATAACATTTATTGGTTTTACCATATTAGTTTTTAGCCGAAATCCGATTAAAGAGCCAATTTCTTACGCCAATAATATTTAATTCAGGTCGGCTCAGCCGAAAATTCTTGTCGAATGGAGGGCCAATACCTTTAATATCTACAAGAATCTTGTGTGACACGTATCATGCCAAATAATAAACGAAAATAACATTTGATTAGGACAAGTATAATTGCCGTTTTACCAATGAAGCCAAACACAATTTCAGAATTCGAAGTATTGACGAACTATCTTAAATAAAATAATAAAACATTATAATAAAATATTCCCACGTACATTGTTACTGGATTTTGATTTGCAGTTACATACAATTTACACAACATCAAAAGAAAGCTTTAATTTTATACTCTTATTAGAAATATATCTACGTATGCATACACTTATTATATGTTATAATTAAATGTTTTTCAAATCAACTTTGGTGATTAATATGAAATACAACAATGTTATGCCTATATCATTTACTTATAAGCGACAGGGTTGTTCAAGTACCTACAACAGATAAAAATCGTTGTAATGGCTTGATTTTTATATTATATATAATATTTATTTCATTTTGTACTATATCGCAAGGTGAGATCAATAAATGCTGATAGTATATAAACAGGTGCATTATCAAAAAACAAAATATTAACTTCTGTTTTAATATATCAAAATCTACGCTTTCGTCATTCACTCACAAGATCTTGTACATTATAATATTGAAATTCTACATAGTTCTGAGATCAAAAGTTATTGGTTCTACCACATTCGTTTTTAAACCAGAAGTTAATATTCTTTTTTCGCGGTGGAACGAACATCCATCAAAAAATAACGTATCTACTACTGTGGGTTTAACCCTTTTGATAAATATATCTTAATTATACTACATAACTGTTATTAATCGTATTTATACAAGTAACATTCAGTTATCCAAGATATATGCTACAATAATGCTTAAAATAAATCTAATCTGAATGTACTTTGACATCCACCTACGTCACTTATGCTAATTGTGATACATCTTTAAAACTAACATATATTTTTGGTATATTTTATAATATTTTTTTGTATTTTTTTTAATTGAAAACGATTATGATATTAGGATTTTGCTATAAATTTCCTATCTAAATCCAAGGTAAATAAATCGTCTGATCCCAAGAATATGTCTGAAGAAAAAACGGCTTACAATTTACAGAAGTCAGAGTTTGTTAGTATAAGATAGTCTAAAATATTCATAAAGCGCAGTCAAGTATATATTCTTAGTTTAAAACGCACCTTCAATTCAAATTCTATATATTAAAATTGTGCGAAAAAGTTATGAGGATATGTTTGTAAATAGTTATATTTTGTAAATAAAATGATCCATTTTTGCGTCTTTCAATCGAGTAAATATATCAGTTATATTTAAAATTTAAAGTGAGAGAATCTCGTGCGCCGTTATTTTTTTTTTAATGTAGCACATAATATATAACATATACAACTTATGAAATATACATAAATATTTATACATATATTATATAAATATTTTTTAATAATTAGTCCTTATTTCACAATGTTTAGTATTTAATATAAGATTATATTTTAAAATTTTAAGAATCTAAATATACATCAAAATAGACAATTTCCAAGCGGATCACTACGTATATATAAGTATAAGTTATTCATATAATTCCTCATGTACATGAGTAGTAGCAATTGACTTCAGCAATTTAAAATAAATGCAATATTATTCTATTATTATATGAATAAAATATATATTCCTGTAAGTTCCAATTTAAACGTGGCACGTAGGTTTTTTGTCACTGAGTTAGGAAATATACATAATTAGCCAAAGCTCAGAATAGGCCGCGTGTCCCTTCGAAGATTAAGTCTTATCTCACAATTAGATAAAATTTTAAATTTTCTTTTCAACTACAAGTTATTTACCAGAATCAATTTCTTTCATCGTGGTCGAAACATCGTCACAATTATTATTATCTAAATATATTTTTTCATTCACAAAAAATAACATTTATTTAAAAGATACTTTCTAAAGCACGAAGATACATCTTAAGACACCTTTGATGAAATTTTGCTGTTGTAGAATTTTTACAATAAATTATTCTTGTCTATCTGACGCATTTCTAGTGTAACATTACGGTAACTGTTTGAAAATACTCGAGTGATAAAAATATTATGTTTAAAATGTAAGTACATAAACAATTCATTTTAATTTACTTTAAAAAATATTATTCGGCGTCGATGTATCTATCGAGATGCAATTGAAAGTATTTACAAAAAAACCGAAGCTGCTGTTGATGTAAAAGCCTTTCGACTGAATGAACTAGGTATATTTAGACTCAGTATTTAAAGGAAAGGCTTTGTCAACTGCACTTCTGACAACTTTACTAAAGCGAAGCTGATTTATAAATAGTTCTTTTATGTACTTAGGTTTTATATACCTACCTTTAGTTAAATTTCATTTTATAATGTTCAATACGTGTTACGAAGAAAATTTCGTAATTCAAGAAATTACGCATATTATTCAAAAAATGTTCTAACACTTTAGGATTTAGAAGAAATGACTGCGTGTCATGAAGCGGGCAAAGAAGCCGGGTGTTCCGAAATATCTGATGAAATAAAATGGAGACAGAAGGTTAGTGAAGAATCTGGGATCGCCTGCAGGGCGAAGGGGTAGCGATTATTCTCGGGGTTGTGATTTAGCTGCGTCGCTTTTGGGGGCGGCAGGGGTCGTGTCGCCTTTGAACAGAGGATTTTTAACCTCCATATCGCCAGTCTGAAAGTGTTCATCAAACTTTATTTAAGTATATGTTCCTTATGAACAAGCCTAACATGTTTAGCGTTAGCCATGTTAGTTTCAAAGGATGACTCGAACCAGTTATTGTGTTTTCTCGTGGAAACGGAAGATTTCTCTATAGTAAAAGGTATACTAAATGTTGACTGAAGTAGGTAAGTTTCCACCGCACAAAATTTAGTTAAAATGGGTTCAGTGCTTTTTGCGTAAAACGCATACAGAAATACAGACAAATAGACAAATTTTTATTAACTAGGTATTGTTTCGGGGTTTATATTCCGTACACAATACGTTTATAAAAATATTTCATGTACGAGTTCGCTAAGTTACTATTTTATTATATGTATACATAAGTTGTTGTTTATATTTTAATTACCTATATATGATAATCTACATACATAAGACAATTAAATTTATAAGTTAATTATGTATAGGAAGAATTACGTACTATAGTGTATATAAATAAATGAATAATCTTTTATGGAGAAAATAAAGACAAATGCTATACAAATATCATATGAAACACAAAGCTGTTTGTTTAAGGTGACATGCGTATTCAGAAAAGTTAAAATATAAAAGATATTTTAATACGACTTCATATAAAAATATCTTTTATATAAAATAAAAATATACATATTTTATAAAATAAAAATACTGATTAGATATAAATATTTCTGAAATGGGTAATTAAAATCTAATGATTATACAAAAAAACGTGCTAAAAAATCTTAAAAAATCAAGCATTGCCATTTAATTTCAAAATTTAACCTAGTGATGATTGATGATGATGATATTGAGAGCAAAGTATTATGCAAAGGCATTTAGTTAAATTAAAAGTGAAAAAAGGGTGATCGTAGAGCAGGTTGTATGAGATCAAACATATCAACTTAAAATACTCGTAATATAAAATTTTGAATATATTCCTTTTTCATAAAACATTCAAAAATCATTAAGGACAATTTTCCACATCAAGTCTCCCTTGTATAATAAAAAATATAAGTGTTACGGAAAAAATAATACCTTATATGAAACTATTTTATAAAGTTAATCACAACTTGCTTTAGATACAAAAAAAATAGATGAAAACTTGCTTTAGATACAAAAAAATTATATAAAAAGTTTTTGCTTTCTTTCTTTAGATACAAAAAAAATTAGATAAAAAAATTTACTATGAAATAATACTGAACAGATTACGTACAGTAGCAAATCCAGGGCATTCGTAGACAGTGTAATCTCCCTCCTCGTTTTCCTCGTCAGACTCCGGGTCGGACACGGAGCCGTTGCGGTGATCCAAGCCATTCCTTTTAATAAATTTAAATTAGTTTATATGTTTTTGGAACTAACTACTATTACCGAGTCCCTATTACATCCGGGTATTTTTATTTTTATAAAGTACCGCGGAAGAAATCTTTTGAAAGGGAAGAAACTTTGATCGATTGTATACATCTAATATAATTTAATTCCGGCTAATAATATATTTGAACAATATAACTATATTAAAATACGCAAGTTGGTGTTCGATTAAATAGATAATAATTCTAAAAAAATATTATCAGCTTATTTAAAAAAAAAATATCTCTTCAAATGTATATTATTTAAAAAAAAATATTAATTGAAGACGTTTATTTTTCCTGATATATTACACGGTAAATATAGCGTCAACGATATTAAAAGTTATATAAGTATACCTTCTAAGAATTCATCCATTTGAACGGACAGAATAATCTCTGATTTCAATGATAAGTTCCAACGGAACAAAATATTGAAGATTTTCTAAGAACATGATTGAAAACATGACATGATTTGAAATATACAAGACAAGACATGATTTGAAATATAGACGTGCATGGAACTAACAATGTAGTAGTGTAGAATGATTTTCTGGAGGCTCTTGATGTTGCTCCGACCACTTGCATGGGACTTACACAAACTAACTACGGACTACTTACCTCGTCTACACAGTAATCTACAATTTACCTTTCCATAGCAATGATCTGTTGCTTTTGGTGTTGGTAATGGTACATGTGCGCGGACTGAGCGAGCTTTCTGTCGCCGGAAAGGTCGACAGTGGGTCCGGTCACGCCGTATGCCGGGTAGTCCACGTCTGCTGCAGCTTTCGCCTTCCTTGATAGCCTTAGAAAGTCATGAATATTCCTAATTATGTATACCTTGTTTTGTAATTTGACTTATTCCTCATATATGCTACATAAAACATATACTATTTTTTAATCATAATTTAATGTGTTACTTAATATATATTTAAGATTATGTACTAATGAACATTTTTATAAAACGGTCATTATGAAATTTAATAAGCTTCTGATAAATGAGCTATATAAATTCAAAAAATAGATATGGACTGTTAGTTTAAAAATCAGAAAATGTAGAATATTTTGCAGTGGATTAAATATTTAGTATGTTATGTATTTTTTTGCAAGACGTCGAATTAAGCTTGATAGAGTTTTCATATGTACTGTACGTGTGTACATAATAATCAATGGCTACCAAAGAAACAATATTAGGTTCGGTTAATCTCTAATGAGTTTATATAGAGTACCAATATTATTTAGTTTTATGAATTGAGTTTAAGTTGCCCAAGTTATATAAATATACCTAATTATTCCTACTTAGAAAACACAATTATTTTCTCAATGTAGTTAAACAAACTAAAATGATGACGTCATTTTTAATTCTATATATAAATTCAAATTTTAATTAATAATAATTAATCGATAAGTTCAATATTTCTTAAATATTGAAAAATCTTATTGAAATAGTCAGTATTATCGATATGGAGGCCGAATTTATAGTTTTTAGAATTTTTGTCTGTCTGTGTGTCTGAAAACGCGACACGAGAAAATCATTTTTGATAAAATTTGGTATGGTTATGATAGATCCGGGTCAACATAATTAATGGATACTTTTTAGTTTTGGGAAAATATCTCACCTCTGAGAAAAAAAAATACAAAAACTGGTTAGAATAATATCACGTTGAAACTAAAAACATTTTGCTAAAATAGCTCAAAAAATAATTTTAAATAGCTTCTCTTGAAAAAACAACACATCAATAGCGATTTTATACATAAAAATAACTCGACAAACATTTAGTAAGGTGTAATTCAAAAAATCACCGCCAAGTGTTTTTAAAATACGTAAACAAAAAAATTGTATGTAAAGATAAGAATTTTCATAATTTTATGACAATTACTAGCAAAACCCGCGGTCTCGCTCGCACTAAAACTACAAAAAAAAGCTCTAAAAAGGTAGGTTACATACAATCTTTCATCCCCCGGTAGTAGTATTTTATCCCCGTATGGGATGAATTTCGAAGAATGCTAAAACATGCATTTATTAAATTGTATTAATACCACGTTTCAAGTAATTCTGATCATAAACAATTTTTTCTTCATATAAACAACACAACCCCCTTTTACCTTTCTAAGGAATGAATTTGAAAAAATCTAATACATATATTTCTTATTTTTCATCTCAAAGCTAAATACCGTTTTCCGTGCATTTCGCGTTAAGAGTGACGGAGTTGCCTACAACCTTTTATGCCCCTTTTTACTATCTTAGAGGATGAATTTCGAAAAATCCTTTCTTAGTGGACGTTGTATAAGGATTGATATGTCCTCCAAATTTCAGTTTTCTACGACCAGCGGTTTAGGCTGTGTGTTGATTGATCAGTCAGTCAGTCAGGACAAAGCATTTTATGTAAGTACTCGTATATATAGATTACTAACATTACACGCGGTCCCGCCAGTGTCTATATAACAAAAAAACTATTTGACTTAAAAATATTAACATATTAACAATAACATATTTATTTGGTACATTAAATATTTTTTGGAAAATCTTATTCAAATAGACATTATTATAGATACAGAGGCCGAGTCTATAGTTTATAAAAATTTTGTCTGTCTGTCTGTCTGTTACCGCATCACGGAAAACCCACTGGAGGGATTTTGATGAAATTTGGTATGATGATAGCTGGGTCAACATATAGAATACTTTTTACTGCGGGAAAATATCTCATCTCTGAGAAACCTATACTAAAGGTTAAAACGTAACTAGGAACGAACCCGAGCGGAGCAAGGGTGAGTGGCTTGTAGTGAATAAAATTGTCAAGAGAAAGGTAGATCGATAGTAAGACTGGTACATGTTGTAAAGTAATATAATAAAGTAATTTAAAGTAACGTAATATAATCTATAAAAGTATATCTATTATTTTAAAATTAAAAGAATAATTAAAGAAAAGCTATTGAAATGTTATAACTAATTGTAAAATTATCTACAATCGTATTAGATTCATACGTCTATAATAATAACCATCAAATGTCAACTATGTAATTATTAGCGTCGTGTATGAACGATTTCTATCGACATTTACGGCGATCAAGAGCGTCTAATCAACATATTACTTTAAGTAAATATAAAATAAAATTATTATTATTAGACATAGGACAGAATAAGAAAATAAATGTTGTGCGATAAAGCCATAATATTATACTTTATGCTGTTATCATAATTGTTAAAGTTATAAACATGTTTATATATAAACTAGCGATTCACCCTCACTCAGCTCGGGTTTGTCCCTAGTTACGTTTAACGTTTAGTATTAGATTATTTAGTATTATTATTTTAGATTTCTCAGAGATGAGATATTGTTTTGCCGCAGTAAAAAGTATCCTTTATGTTGAAGGGACAGACAGACAGATAGACAAAAATTCTAAAAAATACAATTTCGGCCTCTGTATTGATAATAATGACTATATCAATAAGATTTTCCAATAAATATTTAAATGTACAGATGCTACTCATAATTTTATTACGTGTATATTTGTTTTCCATATTACATACAATATACTGTATAAACATACTATTTTACAAAGCTATAGATGTATTCATATTATATTTATAGTACGTATGCATATAATTATATATGTATAGTACAATTAAAAGATAAATTTATCACTAAAATTTTATATTGCACTGACAATCCAAGTCGCATTTGAATCAAAGTAACTGTTATTATTTTCGTTTCGTATTACAGTATTAATAAAATTGAATTTCTTCATTTGAATTTCTTTATAAACATATAAATACATACGTATGATTCTCGTATATGCATAGGTTGTTGTGGGTCGTATTCTAAAATGTTTTCCCGTGGGATTGCGATAATCTCCCGCGGTAAAAAGTAGCCTAAGTCACTCTCCAGCCCTCCAACTATCTCCACATAAAAAATCATGCCATTCCGTCACTCTGTTATATAAAGGACAAAACAACAAACACACATACACATTTAGAATAAATTATTATAAATGAATAAGTAAGGATGTGTGTAACATTATTCATAAATGCACTTTTATTTAAATTAATCTCTAATTTTTTTTACATTATCTTTGTTTTAATTATTATTTATTTTATATTCTGCTTTCAGCATACGAAATTAAATAAGCTTTTTATGATAGCATAAGCTCTCCGCTTATTATTTGTTCGATCAAGGAATCAAATATTATTTTATAAACATTTTTTTTAATAATATTTGAAAAAAATATATATTAATTTAAGTATTTGTTGCCGAGTATTCGACAATATTGTTCTTAAATGGATCACCTCTGTGAAGTTTATTAGAGTTTAAAAAGCTAATTATAGTACATACTTCAAATATTAACTCGGCCATCATCAGTCGTGTGCCAAGCAGATGCGTTCAGCCCTCGAAGTTGTTCGTAGCTTAGTATGCTGAATACAAACAAACACTTACGTTTGGTACTTACCGAATAACGTGAAACCTATAATAGCCACAGAAACATCACAAACTCAAATTGGAAAAGCCTCATTCTTTCAGTTCCATAAGCTTTTATTGTGTTTCATATTAAATAATAGTTGGTTTTGTTACTCACGTGTACCATCCGAAAGCGAAACCTATTATGGCCATGGTGAGAGCAGCACCGACGGCTGCTATTATGGCTACTCCGTATATAGACTCCGCGGGGTCAGCTGTGGGCGTCTCCAGCACGTGATAAAGGTGAGGCTTATCCGTGCCTTCTGCGTCATCACGGGTACTAAACGGAACAAGTATGCTAGTTCTAGTACACATAAATATCATTTTAAATAAATTAAGTTAATTATTTATTTGTTAGTAACAAAAACTTAAATGTTATGGGAGAAATTTACGTTTTTTAGTGCTCTTAGATTCTCATGTTTAAATGTGTATATAATTTAATTACTTCAAACTACACTTGGAGATACCGATGTGGGCTTAATAATGTAAACTTCTATAGAGTCATAAATTGCACTTGTGGTTGGTTGGATTTGATATAGAGGAGTGCTTGTGTAACTTATAAAGTGCAGGACATGTGTAGGTTTAATCTCTGTTCAATTTGCAAAGTTCGTGCAAACAAGTATGAAATGGAAATTACTTTAGTTTTGATATTCCTTCCGTTTCCACTCTCAGCATTCATTTAATGCATGTGCATTGCATGCTTTTTTCATTTATTTCTAATATTTAAATATTGTTTTACAAATTATATATGCATATAAATAGATATATATGTATAAGTGCTCGTACTAAAGTATACGTCTAATAAATATATATATATATATATATATATATCATATACATTCGATAAAATAATTTTAATTAAAGTTCCTTATGCTAATAATTAACCAATTGATTAAAACGTTTATATAAATATGACTTACTCCGAATGTTAGAAATTAACTAATTTAAGAGCAACAAGTAGATTCGCGGTCATTTCTTCTCAAAGCCGTTCATAAATTAAATTTTTAATAAAAGTCATTAGCAAAGTACTAACATTTATAAATAAATAATTTTGATAATATACTAATTATGTTCGATTAAAGAAAATTTTAAATTTGCTTGACTTTGGAAACATGCTTGTTAAAAAAACCTGGCAGAATAAACAAATCGTTTATCACCTTTTTACTTACTTATTTTGAAAGCGACGTGCAGTGATATATTCTAATAATGGAAGTTCCATTATTAGAATACATATTGAATGAAAATTTTAACTTGTAATGCATCTTAGTAAAGCAGTCGAAGTTAATACAAATTGTATAATATAAGGATAGTTAAGGATCTACCAAATTTTTCCCAAAAATTAGAAAAATATTGACTAATTTACATTTACTTGTAGTTAAAATTAATTTTTCTTTTTAGGTGGCCTAAAGCATTTTTTTTAATTCACTGAGGAAAAAGTACAAAGATGCTTTACGTATACGTAAACGTAGTATTCCATTTTCATTTAATTCTAATTCCATATCTTCGAGCTTTATGATATACATAAATTTATTGCTGTTTAATTATGCGACACAGCTGATAAGTTTTCACGTTTTTTATTATTTCGATACAAATCGTCCATTCTGTTTATATATTATTTGATCTGACTAGCTGTTGTTTTATTAATTGCGGGCTTTTATTCTGATTAAAAAATACAGAACGAGTACGATTAAATGAGAGTTTTACATTACGGTGTCCTCATATAAAATGCTTGACTTAATGTAACTTTGTTTTAAGAATTTAGTTTAGTCAGTACAATATGAAAGCACTTTAATTTATGGAGCTAATATCTAAAACATTTTTAAACAAAATAGTAACATTGAATTTATTAAACAGAATCGAATTATGAGGCGTTTCAAGGAGATTATAAGCGTAACATTAATAATTATTAGCGTTAATTCTATATAATTTATCATAACAATCCATTTGAGTTACTGACATAAAGTATACCTTCGCCACTTTACAAACTTCATTTAATCGTACTGCCTTCAGTTGCATGCTCAATATTGCCAAACGTGTATAAGTAATTCAGTAAAGTCTAAGTGAGGGTTGTATGGGTAAGATAGTGGTGACATGCCTTTAAGCGGAATTAAAGGTAAGCGAGACTCATAATCATACATATGGACGTATTTTTGTTATACGAAATAATCACTTGACGTACGATGCTCGTCGAGTAATCGAAGTACTTAAAAACATTGTTTGGATTTGTTTTCCAATAAAAATAATTATTTGCTCCTAATTAGTAAAAATCTCTTTTCCCATGCTTCTAAAGGAGTATAGGAGTGGAGGGCAAGGAAGACGCTAAGTGTTAAAATTGCAACTTCACCTCTCTTCTAAGTCATTTAGATTCGGTCGATTTATTTTCAACCAGCGTAGATTGTTTGGCAGTAAGGAGACAGGTAAACGGTAGTCCTTATTAGTCCTGCAATTAATTCAGTGGCTACTCATTGCGTATTAAAGTATGTAGATAAGTAGGTAGGCTTGAATGCTGACGTTCTGAAAGCATTCTACGTTTGTGTACGATGCATTCTGCTGGACGAAATAAATCACAATGCACTAGGTCCAGACATTATATTAGATAGAAATTAAAAGCATTTAATATTTCGATAACATTAACAGAGAGGTACAATATTAATCGAATTCGAGAAGTGCCTGTTTGAAACACATTTATGTATTATATAAAACGTGAAGACTTCGTGCAATGCGAATTATCCCTGACGCTATTGTAAATTCCATAGAATTTTAAGGCAATGATATTGGAAAGTATAATAACTACTTTCCGTGACATCAATAACACATAGCTAAACATGGTTTGTACAAAATATTTGACAAAAGAAAATATGTTGCGTACAATATATTTACATATGTTCGTATGTAGCTGGAACGTGGAAAAGTATGTACAGATAGTGACGCTAGACAGTATGTTCATCGAAGGAACTGAAGCCATATTTCGGTAACTATGGAGTTTTTTGAAATAGCAATAATCTTAAACTTTAAGCATTTTCCCTAAATAAGCCAATACTAATTCTATTTTTAATCGACTTCCAAAAAGCAGGAGGTTTTATGTTCGTTTGTACCTATGTATGGTCCTAAAGTAGTCCCATAAAATTCTCTTTGACATAGAATACACGCTTTTTAAGAAAATCTGGAAAAACCATGAAATTTGAAGCTGCTAGCATAGCAGACCTAATTCGACCTTTTTTACCTACTTCTTATTGTCATATCGACTTGAAGCTTTACAAGTGTTTGTAAGTACAATGATAGTACCTATAGTAATTTGGTAACAGCTGATCTGACAATTATGTACAGTTATAGACATATCTACTATAAATGGTAACAAAAACAGAAAATGCAATATTACGAAATTAAATCTGATCTACTAACTTTAAACGAGCAATTCTTGTATATTTATTTAATTATATATATAACTGGTATATATTAATATATAAAACCTAAAAAAATACTTTCCGGTAGTCTGAATGCACGCGGGCGGAGCTGTGGGCATTGCTACTCTTATAACATAGTTGTAAAATTAAATAGGTAACAAACATATTTTTAATAATTAAATGATACTTCATAAACTGTAGCAAAAATAAAGCGATATTAAATTGGAAAAGGCTCGTGCTAACACCGCGAGGTGTGTCTCGCACGCAATTATATAATTTTAAGAATTAATGCCTATTTTTAATACTAGATTTGTAACTGTGAGGTTATTGTAGCAGTTACATTACAGTTCTTTCATGTTAACTTTGTTTATCTTTCGAGGGAACACCTGTTTATATCTAATCAATGTAGCAACGTTTTGTGCTATGTAAAAAAATGTTTAGCGTATTCTAATTGTCGACTAACTTAATGTGAATTTGATAATATATTTTACATTAGCGACTCACCCTCGCTTGCTTCGAGTTCGTCCCTAGACAAACAAATCTATCCCACGGAAATCATATATTTAAAACCTAAAAAAGATTCACAATTTGAATAATAATTTTCATCAAAAAAATTATTAAAAAAGATAGAATAAGAAGTATCATTTAATTATTAAAAATATGTTTGTTACCTATTTAATTTTACAACTATGTTATAAGAGTAGCAATGCCCACAGCTCCGCCCGCGTGCATTCAGACTACGGGAAAGTATTTTTTTAGGTTTTATATATTTTCCGGGATCAAAAGTAAGTACTATTACAGACTATAATAATCTGTGGCAATTTCCTTTCAGATCCGTTCAGCCGTTCTGCCGTGAAAGAGTAACAAACATTGATTCATCCATCCATCCTCGCAAACTTTCACATTTATAATATTAGTATAGATTAGAGTGATGTAAGCTAAGTCAGTATCCAGAGTAATTTGACTCATTATAAAAAATACAGACATACTTTATATGAAATGGTAAATAACACAACGTACGAGTATATAAAGTTACTAGCGGACCCGACAGACGTTGTCCTGTCTACACGTCTTTAATTTGAAAATTTAAAACTTTTTTTAATAATTTTTTGACGAAAATTATTATTCAAATTGTGAATCTAAACCATTCCCAGATCCCCTTGAACACACACAAAAAATTTCATCAAAATCGGTCCAGTCGTTTGAGAGAAGTTCAGTGACATACACACTCACAGAAGAATTATATATATAAAGATAAATGGTAATAGGTGTCCATTTATTAATATGGTCCACAGATGTCGTCAATGTCTAACGCACTGTACTTAATATAGTACGTGTTTGCTGTAGTACAAGATATTCTCTGCCGGCCAGATTCAAAACGTCAATATGCTTTGAAAGACTTGGAAAACGAATAGAATTGGATGTGATTGCATACTTCCGGGGGCATGTTACAGAGCGTTGTGCTAAAAGATTTATTTATATTCCATGTACATAAATGTGTACATCTTCACTATCGCTCTTACGTTGCGATTTATGAGATCATGTACGTAATAATAATTTAATTTAATGTTTAAATACATTTTGAACACAAGTTCTAGTATAAAAATTGTTTTCCAAGTAACCTCTCTTTGTATAAGGATAAAAGAAAATGCAACTTATTATTTCGCTCTACATTATAAAGCTAAGAACCGGTATTAAGTAACACGGTGCTGAGATTGTTCTTAAAGACAAAGGAAAAATATGTAAGAATATACACTTTCATATAATTAGGATAACATTATAATTTAATAAATAACCTGAAACGCTTTTGTCTACGGCAAACTTCTTTACGTTTCAAAGTGTGCTTATTGAAAAGGTATCCTAATTACGCTTTCATCTAACGTAAAAAGGATGTTTTATATTTTTCATGTTAAAACAGAAAAACGACTAAAGACAGATAAATTCCATGTTAAGTGATAATTAAATTTTACCTATAATAGAGTGGAAAGTTGGATCTAATAGAAAACGGGAAGCTCAAGCATCAAACTTCTGTCTATTATTTCCTTCCACGAGTTCTGAAATATTGATCGTAGATGTTTATTAATCAGAAAAATAAAATATTTCATACTTTGCATTCAATATAATAAGTCCGTATCAATATTATAAATATAAAAGTTTGTGAGTATGGATTTTTGTTACTCTTTCACGCCAGAACGGCTGAACGGATCTGGATGAAATATGGCGCAGAGATAGATTATAGCCTAGAATAACACCTAGGCTACTTTTTATCCCGGAAAAATGTACGGTTCCCCTGGGATAAATTTGTTTTGGTTTTCCTAGAGGTGAACCCGAGCGAAGCGTGGGTGAGCCGCTAGTTTATTTATAAGGACAAAGTTATGGGTTTCAATTTGATTATATATACATATATATACATTTATATATATAATTATGAAAAAAAACACAAATTATTAAAGGTACATCAATTATACTAATTATACTATCCCGCAGAAAGCTAAAAATACTTTCCTACTTTATTAATTGCTATGAACTCAGTAGAATAAATAGTATTGGTATTTATTTTAAAATATAAAATTGCTTAAAGTTATCGTTCTACATTGTTATGTATTGTTATGTTCCTTCGATGATCAAACCTCGTATGATTTACCTTTTTATCTTTATTGCTATTAAAATAATAAGTTAGCGTAAGAGTTACATTAGCCATGTATTATTAATTATGTACATTACACATTACATTTCGATTAAGGATTTTAATAAATAAATACATTATGTAGACATGCTACAACTATTAAAAAGGTGCGTAAAAGGTTATGTGTTGTTTTAAAAATAAAATATATATATATATATTCTATTATGGATAAATAAATAATAAAAATACTTACAACCCTGCGCGAAGAATATCCATGTCTTCGGCCACGAGGGTTTTAGTTTTACTCCAGTTTGGGTTCTGTCGAGCTGGACGTGGTTCCAACACTTCGTATTCTTGACGACGCTCATCCACCTCAGGGGTAGCTGACGTAGAAAATATAAAATGTATTTGAATAAACTACGATACAAACTCTAAGAATAACTTTAGACGAGTACATTATAAAGTGCAATATAGTATGTAAAATCACAAATAACAATGTTTTTTGCAATTATTTCATTTACCCTAACTGTATATAAATCTTCGTATTGCTTAGCTTAAAAATTTAAGCTTTTTGATATGTTTTATTGCTCTATGATTGCATGTGGTGAAATATTGGATAGTTGTTTCATTCAAGAGAACTAGTAAACGCTTTTATTGAAAGAATCATTTAGAAGTCGAAGCTTTCAATTCGATCTCATATCTGTAAGTAATTGGCGTTCCGACTCATGAACTATGACATCGTGATATATATAGATAGTTTTAAAATAAATTATAAATATTAGTACATTTCTGCTATGTTTTATCTGAAAATTATAGCAGCTATAGCGTATTTACTATTTAGGTTTCCAAATAATTTCATTATGTCTATCTGTATGTCTGTCTACCCGCTTTGCGTATTATAAAGTCTAAATTTGAAGGTTACATACAGCCTTGTGTTAACCATCGGTTACCAATGATATACTTAAATTATGAGTAATAATAAAACAGATTGGCGTGGCTTTGGATAGTTTTTCAAATATTAAATACACAATATATTATGTTTGACACATGAACGAATTGTGGTTAATTCGTTCATGGTTTGACACATCAATCACTAAGATAACTTTAGGCACTCTACTACTGTTATTGACTACATTTCCAGCTGAGGTAGCCCGATATTTATACATCGTACTGTTGACGCCAAATTATATTACATATTCATATTAACATAACATGATTCCACTATGCATAGAGCAAGGTCATAGAGTAATTTCCTTTGCTACCAAACTGTATTATACAGGTCCTTGCAGTAAATTAATTAGGTACTCCTTACATAATTTAAGGGTTAACGTTCATATTTATGTATCGTAAGTGAGATGAAGCATCGACAAGCTGTGCGGCGACGCATGGTCGCGAAAATTGATTACTTTTCCTTATTCTCGGTGTAACACGCTTTAATCACTGTATTAAAATAAACTACTCCTGTTACGTCTGTAATAATTGAATGATGAAAGTGTGTTAGGATTTTGGGTTTTAATAAAGTTTAAAGTAGAGACGTTGGTTGATAAAAAATATTAAAATAAGACAAAAGTTTATTTGCAAAATAACTATAACATTAGTATTATAACGTTAAACGTTTTATTAATCATTATACTTGTATACGGAACTATGGCTTTAAGTATCATTATGATATTGTCGCGTAGTGGAGAGGGTGTAAGGTCGTTACAACAAAAATAATAATTAAAAAGACACTCTGAAGCATGCTTTATACATCCTAAAGACAGTTGTCAAAAAATTTCCAGAAAGGCATCGAAATTACTAGAAGTTTCTAAATTCAGACAAGACAGTTAATCTTAAATTGCCGTGTTCAAGAGTGAGAGAGGAAAATATATTCGAAATTACTAGAAAGGTTTCGAATTTTAGAATGCTAGAATGTTTTTTGTTTATGCATATAAAAAGGCCATGCTGTGTGTCGAGAGATCAGTTGAATTTCGAAAGTGCGCACGTTGGTAAATCTCCATACATCACTCGTGTTAACCAAGAGCAATAAAACATCAATAGAGCAAAAGACGTGCTTTAATTTCCGATTCTCGAAGTCATAGAGCCTAACAATATTGTATAAAATTTAAATATCATCTATCTATTTACCATTCACATTTTTATTTCAGACATTAAACACAATGAAAAATTTAAAGGTAAGCAGGAGAAGTTTCATCTATTAGATACTTTAAAAAGTGGCATATAATGAAAATAATAGGCAAATATGATATAAACTTACTTGTTTTGGGCGAGATGGCTATTTCCTCGAAGTATCCAGAGTCAAGTGGTGTTAACGCAAAGGACTTCTTAATATCTTTAGTATTTAGTTGCTCTATATTTGTGTCGTAGATTTCAGGAACAACGCGGCCTTTTCGGGGTCTGTTATCTACTTGTCTGAGAGGGGGGGCAACCAAATCATCAGCAGATTTACGTGGATATAAACTGTCATCGTTTATTGAATCACCCAACATTTGCATCATATAATTTGGTGGTAGATCAGGTAGCCAGCGTTGAAATTGATCATATGGTATCGGTTCTATTTCTTGCATTTCCATTTGGTTTATCATGTTAATTTCCTAAGTAAAAAAAAAAATAATAAAATTAGTAGTCTGCCATGTACTGAATGCCGTCGGCATTGGAGATATTTGCCATTGCTTATTACTTAAGTTTGTAGGTTTGATTTTGTATGGGACAAATTTTTATCCAGTATTGCCTATATTCAGTAAAACTATAAGCAATAGATATACTCGTATATATTTCTTGTTTTTCGTTGCAATATATTAATCCCACGGGAATTATTTGATGTATCGGGTTAACCAACTACTTCATGATACGCTTTACAATATATTGATGATAAAAAAATTCACGCAACAAAGGAGCAACTGATGATTGATTTTTTTTGTATAAAGATTGCATGTGAGCTTAAAGGATACTTCTACTGGATATTAGTTAGCCGATTTTCAGAAAAAAAATAAGCAGAGGATATAATAGGGATACCAAAAAGGTAAGGGAGCCCCCCTCCTAATACTAGATAATACTCAAATCTGGTAAACTGCTCTATATCTATGAGGATAACCAACAATCTCAGGGTGGGGTCGGGTTTATCGTACACAAGTTTCTTGCAACAATCTATCAGGAGCGAGTCGACCAAGGTAGCATACTTTGTTCTACAAATAAGCAAGCGCAATTCTTTAAAAGTAGTGTATCTATGCCCAAACTCAAGACTTAAGAGGAAGTGAAAACTGTATATAATGATATTAAAGTAGTTATGTGTACCTCCAAAACACATTTCACCATTGCCAGGGGGAAGTGAGTTTGGGAGGTACACACGACTACAGATATTTGGATGGTCTTAAACTGGACAAATGAGAAGGCGCAAGGTGCAGCAGGGAGTCGGGCAATTTGTTCGTGACGCTTCTTAACACTTTCTCGTCCCAAATACAAGTGATGATGCATAGCAAAGACTTGGACCTCATAAGACAGGTGACTTCAAGGGTCACCTAGAGAGCAATGACAAGGGTTGTGCTAGGAATTTCCCTGCGAGATCACCGATGCACCATCGAATCTCTAAGCTGAAGTATGCTACTTCAGCAGTGCGTACATAGCTCGTAGAGCGGTAGTCCATGGGAACCTTCAGTTCTAGAAAGCTGGCCGCGTCCCGGTAGTTCACTATATACGTATATTTCGCATTTGATTTGAGCGCCTTACGGTGAACGATTTTATGCTACCGAATACATGCTCGCATGTAATGAATATTACGCAATGCAATCTTGGTGAAAATAACATTAAGAAACTTAATAAAAGTTAAAAGTTTATGTTAACTACTGCTAAATGTTTTCTAATTGCCTCATTTATATATTTAGACGTACTTCTACTTTAATAATAAATAATCATCGGTTTTGCATTGTATTTCTAATAATTGAATTATTTTCAAACTAAATGGAAGATTAGTATTGTTTAAAAGTTATCATTATATTCAATTCACTACATTATATTCACTTTACTACAGCAATTATCTTTAATTATAATATATCTTTAATAGGTTCTGGTATCTATTATATAGTGGGCTTCAATTAGTCTAGACATTACATACTCGTAGTGGTAACATTGCAAGTAACATAGTTTTTGGAATGGCTATCGAGAAGTAAGATTATTGTCGTCTTTTCTATCTCTCTACTAAAATTTTCTCAATGCATGTTAGCTGAAAGTTGCTGCTTGTCTCTTGTTATTCAACAATGATGACAAATATGCCGTGTCCTGACAGAAGATAATTAATTAACGAACGACGTTCTCTTGGGAATTACTATGTGAACATTTTTATGCACTTTAGTGGCCTTGTAAGTTGTTTATTCATATTTACCTTTGTAATTGTTGCTATACATGCTATTTATAGTAACAAGTAACTCAAGTATACTTAATAAAGTAGACAGTAACAACAGAAGATTAAGCATAACTTTTCAAAAATTAGTGTTGAGCAACATAATTGTGTTTTATATAATATCGACAAAATTATAAGCTTACTAATAAAAACTTTCGCATGTTACGAGTATCTATGTTATTTTATAAAAAAAAAGAGAAATTGCATTCGTTGTCATAAAAAAAATATGAAAATATTCCAGTGGAAGACATAAGTTGCGTGAAAGAGATCGCTTCTAGCGATAAGGCAGTCTGTTTTACGTCATTTCCTTACCGCAATCATATAATGCATGTACATATTTTTCTTTTTATAAATGTTTTAAAATAAATTATACTTACGCGATTACGCGTCAATTAAACAATTGCATCTAAAGTACATCTAAAATCTACTGTGGAGGAGATAATTGGAGAGTTCACACATATTTATTTGGTAAAAGTGTGTTAATACATAACTCGATTCTCGACAATAATTACATTCAACAGGCAAACAGGGTGAAAGTGAAGACAAGTACCTAATATCCTAATTTAGATAAAGAATTCTTATAATATTAGCTAATTGAAGACATCATTTTTATAAACAGAGTTTAAGTACGAATTTCTTTATAAATCCAACACTTGATATAAGTGTATTAATAGAAAGATTGTAAGGCCTTGCAAACTGCAAATATCGCTATTTATAACCAGCCAATAACGCCTACAGTTAAAAACTCAACAGGAACAAATTTAAAGCTTTTTGAAGAAACTACGTTACATAAGTAAAGCAACGCGTGTTGAGTACCGAGACGTTAAGAGATTATAATGACACTTATACTATACTCTGCACAATTGCCAGTGATTGGCGAGAGGGGGCCCTGATACGTATTTCAAGAGTTTTCCACGCTCAAATTGCAATACGCGATGCACTCAGAGATAATACCAATCGTCACCAATTGCCGTTTAAGCTGAATCAAACAATTTATCTTGATCGCAGATTGACGTAGCTATGATATCTAGAAGGTCGGATGCAAATTGCTCTGTTATATATCTCTAACATCCACAACGCATATTTGAACTCTACAAGGATAAGCCAAGTGCTATAGCGTGTACCTTTTGTCTCGTTATCCCTGTATAAACAACTCCAACAGAATCCCACCAAAAGCGACAAAAGCCAGATAGGAACCAATAAATATTTATTGGTTTTTATGTGGCTTTTATAGCTCTTGATGGGTTCCTTTTTTAGTTTTTAAATAGGGATTTATATATGGATAAACTTTTAAGAAAGAATATTTTCTTATATTAATTATTGTAGGTAATCTAAAAATTATTATTATAAACAGACACAATATGTAGAAAACTTTAAATAAAGTCCTCTTGCTTTTCTGTATCCAATACAAATTGGATTAACGTCGAATAATTTTCGTATAGTCAATTTACTTCGATTGATCTCTATCAATGCCCAAGTGATATCAATCGATTAATAAAGTAATTACCAGTAGTAACTTCTCGCACCGCCTAATTCCAGTTTCATACTAGCAATTCAAACCTGAGTGGAAATTTAAATTTCGCAGGTGCGGAAAATTTTTAGATTTCTAAAAAACTTTTACAATTTTTGTATAGATTTATATAAACTAGTGACTCGGATTCGTCTCTAGGTACATTTTAATTTTTTGAGCGATTCCCTAATACTTTTACTGAAATAAAACTAGCCTAAGTTACTTCTAATATCAAATACCTGCCAATCAAAGCTCCAGTGTTAGCCAGAACAAGCAGACAGACAGACAAAAATTTTAAAAATTGTGTTTTTCTTATAAATACCGTATATAATTCCATGTGCATTTATTAAAATAGGGGATGAAAGTTTGCATGAAACCTACCTTTTTAGAGTTTTTTTGTAGTTTTGGCGCAAGCGGAAGCCGCAGGTTACCGAAAACTCAGATTTTTTTAGCAGACATGTAAATGTTATGATTAGTAGTGTATTAGTGTTAGTAAAAATAAAATTATAATATAATAAAATCTTTATGCATTTATACTGAACTTACATAGCGTACATTTATGTAATGTACGTATATGTATGTAATGTATCGTTAAAGTATGTTTCAATATTGCACGTTGTAATAATTCAATAAAGCAATTAAGAGACGTATTTGGATCATTTGAGGCGTAAACTGGGTCAAAATTAACGCCGAGAATGTCATTTTCAAGGTGTGTAATGATTAAACAGTAACGTGGAATATTAGTTTTTCGATGTTTACAGTCAATTTTTTTATATACACTGCTAAACCATTCTTTTCATAAAAAAATTTTTCAGATTTGTGTAAGAAATGATTGTCAAGAGATGGTGGTTTGCCTGCCTGAAGAACCCACATTCCGAATAATATCGAGATTATGTAATAGAATTTCTAATGCATTCGATTAATGCTGCTGATCTATACTATAATAAAAGAGTAGAGGTCGAATGTCTGTACATAGCAAAAAAATGCTAAAAGCCGAATCAGGGGGATGTAAGGAGACAAATAGAACAAATCCAGTTTTTTTTTTCAAATTTTTTGTTTCTCTGTTTGTCTGTTTGTACGGGCTAATCTCCGAATCTATTGGACCGATTTAAATGAAATTTTGCATGGTGGTACCTTATATCCCCAGTCGACATCTTAGATACATTTTATCCCAGGAAATTAAAGAGTTCCCGTGGGATAGTTAAAAAACTATAGTATCTTATACAGCTTAGTACACAGCAACTTATGCACCTAATTTAGTAAAATTTAACATTCTGATACCTTATATTGCCAGTCAAACAACAGGTTACTTTTCATCCCGGAAAAATGAACGGTTCCCGTGGGAACTAATAGATCTCTATTAGTGGTTTTTCTAGAGGCGAACCCGAGCGAAGCGAGGGTGAGCCGCTAGTATTTTATATAAGTATATAGTTTGGGCATTTCCTTTGTTTGGCAAAAGTTTTTTACTATTTTCAACGTTGCATAGTTTACTGACTGACACAGAAAAATTATCCAAAGAAGAGATTGACTTATTAGTCATAGTTAAAACTAAAGTAATAAAAACAAAGTAAAACTAGTGTAGAAAGGCTTAAGCGATAAATTAATAGGTGGCGCTCTTAGGCGCTCTCATAGTCTATTGAATTTATATACTCACCCTCAGCATATTTACGTGCTGGACAGCTAACATC